GATGGGGCACGGTGAACACTGCGGGTCTATAGAGCTGGGGAGTTCGGTGGTACGGGCGGAGTACTCCGTGCTTCAGCGAGTGAGGCGACTTCTCCGTTGGATGTGGTATCTTCCCAGTCATCATCCATGCTATGGTCCGAGTCTGCGGTGTCCGTGTCGGCTGTCATGCTGAGGTCGTCAAGGGTCTGTGAGGTGAGAGTCTGCGAGACTGAGACTTCTGCCTCTGGTGCGGTGACCCATTTGACTCGCTGTCGGTGTGCACTAAGTTCGTCTGCCTCGAGTTCATCCATAAATTCCTCTATGTCCATCTGGGTTAGGTGCGGGAGGAAGCGCGATTCCGATGACACAGGTGAGTTGTGCTCGCTGAGTACAAGGGAATCACTGGATTTCTGTGTGACTGCACGGTCCACTGCTTCCGCTTCCTTGACACGTTCCGTTGTGTGCGGGAAGTAAATCATGTGCAGGGCAGCATGGCCTTCTCGGTACACTCCGTCAACCTTGATAAGCATGTTCCGTAGCAGGAATAGCTCCTCGTTCTTTATGCCGTATGTCTTCCAAGACTCGTTGAGGATCATTCGGTCCGCTGAGAGAACCTCCGGGATGTCCACAAATGGCTTGGCCTCTTCTTGGTCATGCTTATGATCCACAAGGTACTTGATGAGCAGGTCGCGATACATCCGGTTCTCAATGGTGGCGTCACTTGGACCATCCTCATGGGGTGACTTGAGGTCTACGTCCCACGGGTCCCGGTACGATAGAACATACGGGTCTGCCTCAATGTTGTCCTCTTCTCTGGCTTCTTCGGCTATGGTTGGAAGTGCACGTGTGTCTGTTCCATCCGTCTGTGTGCCTACATCCTTCTTGGTTGGGTCCATCATTTCGCGGAGGCGGTGTGTCTCAGAGAAGTCCATCACGGGTATGTCCGGATCTTCTCTTCTGATAGAAGCACACATCTGTGCTGCACGATGCCATGCCATCTGCTGAGCTTGCAGCGATGAGAGGAGAAGTTAGTATGTCTTCCGGCCATCCTGGGATCGAACTCCAATCATGACTCCATCAGCGGAATGGCGGAACCACATCTGGTTACGGTGCTGCCATGGCTGGCCAAGAATGCCTGGTGTGGTGAGGTTGTCAACGATATGGAGATCCGTGACAGATGTGATGCTCCCGAACTTGAGTGGTGTCCTCCAAACTCCTCGGTCTTTGAGTGGCTGTCCATTTGCATTAATGAGCCGAAGGTTGTGGTGAGGCCGATGAAGTGATCCTCCCAGAGCCTTGTATATGTCCGTGTGGATGCAGTCTACCTGTGATCCCGTGTCCAATAGGAACGGTATCTCCAAGTGACCAATGGTAATCCGTAGGATGATGAGCGGTGGAGGCTGTGGCAGATAATGCATGTGATGACGGCCCATCGGGACTACACTTCCAATCGTGATCGAGTTTACAGGTACCCTTGGCTGTACTGGCTGGGATGGCAGTATGCTGATAAGCACATGTCCATGGTAGCTTCCAAATTGGTTGCTAAGAGAGGCGTTGGGAAGGAGGAATGTGGTGAACTCCTCTTGTGTGGTGTCATGGAACATAAACGAGTGGTGCGCAGCAACTGTGGTCGGTCCGGTCTGTGAGATGCGACTGAACTGTGGCGTCTGAGGTGCTTCTCTCATGCTCGGTGGTTGTGTTATGACCGTGTTCAGCTGTCCAGCTAGTGGAACCATAATGTCTTCTCGTGGTGGAAGGATCCGGGTGTGCCATGACCTCTCCATGTCCTCATCGTCTGCATCGTAGCGGGCATCGTCGGTGTCAGGATTGAGGAATGGACTATCCTCATCATCAGAGTCATTTGACGGGGTTCTGATGGACTCGTCATCATCCGAGCTGCTCTCTGAGTTAGTGACCAAGTCGGGTAGGTCGTCTGAACTGTCTGAGGTGTCAGAGGCACTGCTGTCTGATGCAAGGTCGATGTCCTGGATGGGTCCTACAATGTCATCGGCTGTCCACTCCTTGATGGTGGCGTAGACTCCTGGGACTTCTGATGCTGGCATCGACGGCATACTGGGGAGTGGGTCAACAAGCATCTCTGACTTGGGATATCCTGAGGTCGGCGGGAACTCCAGATACGTGCCATCAGGCTTCTCGACGATTGAGATCTTGTGAGCCTGCTGCCAAGGTCGTCCGAGTAGACCATCAAACGGAGGGTTCTCTGCAATGAAGGCATTGATTGGCGTGCTGATGTGGCCGAGCTTCAGAGGAATGTTCTCAACTAGCCCCAAAAGGTGACCAGTTCCTCCGTTGGCATCCTTCATTGCTATGGCTGCACCCAAGTTGATTGGCCTACGGACTATGTTCTTGCAGACTGCCTCGCTGATAATGTTGAGCTGAGACCCCGTGTCGACAATGAACGTGACTGGCATGAAGTTGCACTCCATTTGAAGGCGGATCAGGGAACCGGTGCGTGACGTGATCAGGTTTGTCGTTGGGAGGATTGATGCAACCGGGACTGTGTCAACCTTCTTGAGCTTGAGCATGTCAATCAGGCTGCTGGCGACCTCACGAGAGCATCCTGCAATCTCCCGGACTGGAAGGGTCACAGGTAGATCTAGAAGCTTCTCTGCAATCTTGACAGGGTCAACCGTCTTGCTGACATCCGATGCACGCGGGGCCCAACGAGGTTTGTCCATGGTGGCTGGCTCCGTAGGGGCTGGCTTCTTCCGCTGAGTCAGAGTGCGGTTGTCAATCATGTCCACATCATTATCAGGGTTGAATGCCATAGGCTGAGTCTCAACTGGCACCAGACGTTGCATGGGAAGGCGATGCACAGCAGTGGCCTTCTGCGAAGTCTCCGTCTTCTTCGGCTTATCCTTCGGGTTCTCCTTTCCTTTTGAGGGGACGCCTACGCCGTCAAAGGTCTCCTTGCGGTAAGGCCTGGTGATGCGTTGGGCTCTCTCCACTGGATAGACCATGACGTCGGCCTGCTCCGGATCCTCGTCTTCATTGTCCACATCCTGTGCTGGTCCATCATAGGCTATGAAGTTCACCTTGGGAAGGGTGCGTTCAATTGCCTGGACGATGTTCTCGCCCTCCTGCCGTCTGATGACTCGACCATCCTTGTCCGTGATACGCCCTCGATAGTCTTTCAGAACCTGGCCCTTTGAGATGTATTTCTGGATCTCAGGGCAGTTGTTCATGACATGGCCTGGCTGACCACATCCGAAGCATCCTTGGGTTCCTGACTGAAGTGGTGGTAGTGAGGGTCGCATTGGCGGCTGGCTCATGTTGGATCTGCCCATGTGTGGTGGCAAATCACGAGTGACGTTCTGGCTGAACTGCGGTGGGGGCCTGAGGATAGGCTGGTAGAAACAGTTCTGCACGTTGGGGTCAATGCGGCAGGCTTTGAGGTACGCAGCACCATACAGCGGGTCGTCCAATTGGAGGGTGTGAAGCTGTTGGATCAGGCCGTCGAGTTCCACATCCTCAGGCTTGCGGGATGGGGTAGGCACTGGGGTGGG